TTTTTTTTTCCCTCGCCTGGGTTAAGGGGGTGGGTGGAATTGACGATCACCTCACAGAGGCAAAAAGCTTTCAAAGATTTTTTTGTGGCCAATGTATGCTCGATTATCGCCAACCAGCATTTTGCACTTTAGTGGCAAATTCACCGTGCACCGATTTTCGGACTGACAGTCCGACGCTACTTTTTTTGCGCTGGGAAATAGCTTCACAGATTTGAAAAGAGAAAAACAAGAGAACAAGGAGAAGAAAAACAAAGGCTTTGTAGTAGCGCCCTTTAGGGCCCCCCTGTAATTATAATTGCGGCTTGGTGATTCTCACTCTGGGAACGAGCCCCGCAGCCTGGGGCAATGTCCAACTGACACACATTCTGTGTTTCCAATGGTGGATCCTCGTGGTCGTCTGTCCGAAATGACAAATCCAGGTAATTGGGCCCTGGGCCTTGGATGTAGGGTGTCCTCTTACGTTACCATAAGCGGGCGGTTAACCGGGACCCCCACTTTTCAGCCCCAGTTAAGCCCCTAAACCCTGAAAAGTGCTTTGGAGGTCATTTTTTCTAGTTTTTTTTCTGTTTTTTTTCCTTTTGCCCTGTTTTATTTTTGGTCAAGGTCTGTGTGTGTGTTACCAGAGTTGCCCCTGGCTGGAGCCGCCCAGCGGGGTGACACAGGTGAACTTTTCCAAGGGGTGACCCACCCGGGGTACCCGGGCGACACCAAGGAAAGGGGGTTCCAATTTTTCATTTTTACCATTATGCAAGGAAAATGAGAGAGAGCAAAATGACAGAAATCCAGAATGCAAAATCACATTGAAAGCCAGAAAGTCCAACACTGTCCACAAAGCAGAAATGCGCTGATATTACGCCAACGGAGAACCGAAGCACCGAGTCCCCGAATGTCAATGAGAGCATACTCTCCTCACCACCAATATATGTATCCGGAGCCCTTCGTCCTTACTTGGCGCTCAGCGACCAGACTAAAATCACACAGCTACTACCAGCCTACAAATTTACAATGCAACCTGTTGACGTCAGCAGCAACAACCGAAGTACATGAAGATGTCGACCCTGTGGAGCAAGACCAGGTATGTGCCCTCACATCATCATTCTTCATCTGCCTTCTCTACCCGCTTCTTCCTCCCATACACGAAGCTCACCACCACCTCCACTGGCTGTCCAAGCCAAGCCCCGGCTATGTAGGGCTGGCTATGGCGCTGCCCTCAGCAGCGTCCTGCCTTCTTCCCGCGTCCGCGTGCACTGCCTGGCACTTAGCGCTAGCGCACAGCGCACAGCCTGCGTGCGCACGCTCAAGCAGCGCTGCGCATGCTCTGCCTAGTGCCCCCCAATCCCTCCACCAGTGGCGAGCGCTTTCCTTTATGGAAAGTGCTCGCCCAGTTCGCTGTCTGACTGGGCCTCGTGTGTTTCCAGTAGCTTCCGATCGGGCCAAAGTGTCGGCGCCCAGGCCCATTCAGACAGTGGCCTGGGACCGAATTGGTTGCGCCTGCCCAACCACCCAGGAGTAAAGGTGAGGTTCTCCCTGCTTCGCGTGTGTTGCTGGAAGAGCCTAGAAGGCTAACGAATTATTTCTGATTCTCACGAGTGCGGAGGGTGTAACCAACTGTCTGGCGCATGGCAACTGTCTGGCGCCCACCAAGCTTTGCCAAAATTGACGAACTCAGGCCATATTGAAATTCAGGGGCCGCCTTCACTTAGGGCGGGCTCATGCTTGCTGAAAGGGCCCTGCAGGGGCATGCCGAGGAACTAAATCGTAACAAGGCCTCGTCGAAGATCCATCCCACATGGGGGTTCCGACAGGCTCTGCTTGGGCCCCTCAGCCTGGTCTCATAGCCCTATAAACAGGCATTGACACATATTTGCAGGCCTGCCTTCACTTAGGGCGGGCACGGCACTTTCAGACACTGCCGAGGGGCTAAATCGTTCCAATTAGTGCCTTTGTCGGTTGGGAAAATAGGGAGCCTCGGGTGGGCCTCCAATCTTGTAGGTTTTTTTTTTTTTTTGTTTTTTTTTTTTTTTTTTTTTTTTTTTTTTGAAATACAAGATGCGAGAGTTACATGCAGAAACGACAAAACGGATGGAGCGGCGAGCAGAAAACTAGAAACGTGCAGAAAACAACAAAATGGTCGGAGTTGCGCCCACTGAGAGAAGTGCCCAAATCTTTCAATTTGGTGATATCTTGACAAAGGGTGTCTATGGGGTGTATATAAGCAGGGTTCGAAAGGGCCCGAAGGGCGAAGGGGCTTAAATGGCCATAAAGGGGTCTCATTTTTTTAATTTTTTTTTTTAATTTAAATTCTCCATAGCGGGTTTCCCCTCAGGCAAAAGATGTTTGGTATGCAATTGTTTTGGATGGCATAGATATTTATCAGATTTTTAATTTATTTTTTTTGTTTTGTTTGCGCTGGGACTGCCAGGGACGTTGACCGGGACTTTGCCCGGACTTGGCCTGGCTGGGCCACCCGTGCCCAATCTGAGGCAGTCCCAGCGCAAAAACATAGGTTTTTTGGTTTCCCCCTCCCCCCCCCCCTTTCTTTTTCCCCTAAAGGAGGGGGGTGAACCCCTGATTTTTTGTTTTGAACCTTTCATCTGACTGCATGAGGACGTGAAGTCAAGCCTTGTTTAGCACTGTATACCATTCAGCCCACTGGAGCAAGCTTGGTGGTATTTTTTTTTATTATCATTATTTTTTTTTGCCCTTCCCTGAACTTCAGTGGGGATATCCACTGTGGCGCGAAGGATCCTTTACCTTGTGTACCATGCAACTCGAAGACAAATAGCCACACGGAGGGGCGCACTCACAATAGGACTTCTCTGGGCGTCTTTGCAGCCAGGTGCTTCCAGGCAGGGCCGAAAAAGTGGTCACATGTATCCAGGAAACTGACGACCAAAAAAAAAAAAAAAAAAAAAAAAAAAAAAAAAAAAAAAAAAAAAAAAAAAAAAAGATTTGCTACAAAGAGTCGTCAGGAAAGGAAAACCGGAGAATCCAATCCTTGTATTTCGGAGTCTGGGATATGCTGGGTCGAAGTCCCGCTAGCGAAGAGGATTGGATTAAGCGCCTGAATCTGGGATGCATTTTATGCAGAGATGCAGAAAAGGAGATCAATCAGGATTGGTCTTGCACCTTCCCTTAAACTTGTCCAGATGGCAGACGTTAAATCCAATCATCCTTGCTAGTCGGACCCCACCCCTGACAACCTATCGAATGCCCCCGGGAAGCAGGCACGGTCTCCCCAACTTGGAAATAGACGTGTAAAGTTTAAACCGCAAGTACACGGCCCAGCCTTGCAGAAAGTTCTGTCGCCACAAGCAAAACTCGGAGGGGCTGATGTGTGGTGTACTGGTGCTTTAAACTTGTCCAGATGCAGACGTTAAATCCAATCATCCTTGCTAATCCTAATCGGACCTCACCCCTGACAACCTATCCAAATCCAGGGAAGCCGGCATGGCCTCCCCAACTGAGGAAATAGACAACCAAGCTGCGAATCGCCGAATACTAAACTGAGGTGGACGGACTTTTCTTCTTTTTTTTTTTTTTCCCTTCCGGTCCTTTGGCCAGTGGTGTAGCGCATTTGGTAAGGCAGACAAGGTGGCGTTCAGGAGGTCGTGGGTCCAAGCAGCGGTGGCCTCATGTACCACCTTCCTGGGCAGAGGTAGTGTTCGCCAT